TCTCTCTTTCCTCGTTTTGTCTCTTTTTTCTCTTCTCTCTGTTTTTTCCTCTCTTTCTGCTCTTTCTCCTTCTTGTCGTTTCTGTCTCTTTTTCTTTTTTCGCTTTGTCTTTCCTTTCCTGTTTACTTTCTTTTTTCTTCTTTGCTCCTTTCTGCTCCTTCTTTTTCTTTTCTTCTCTTTCCTCTACCCTCCTCTTTCTTTTTTGGTTTTCCTCCTGTTCTCTCTTCTTACTTTCTTCTTTCTTCTTCTTTCTCTTTTTTCTCTTCTTGTCTTCTCTTCTTTTTGTCTTTCTCGTTCTTGTTCTTCTTCTTCTTCTTCTCTCGGCTTTCTTCTCTTTCTGTTTTTTCTTTTTCTTTGCTTCCTTTTCTTTCTTTTCTTCTTTTTCTGGTTTTTCCTTTTTTCTTTTCCCTTTTTTGATTGTCTTTTCTTTCCTCTCTCTCTGCTCTGTTTCTTCCTTTTCTCTTGTCTTCCCTTCTTTGCCTTCTCTCTTTTCCATCTCCTCTTTCTCTTTCTTTTCTCTCTTTTTTCTCTTCGCCTTCTTCTTCCTTCTCCCTATATTTCTTTTCTCTCTCCTTCTTTTTCCTTTTCTTTTTCTCCTTTTTCTTTTTCTTCCTTTTCCTTTTCCTTTCCTCTTCTTTTCTCTCCTCTTTTTCTCCTCTCTTTCTCTGCTCTCTTTCCTATCTTTTGTCTTTCTTTCTTTCTTCTCCTCTTTTCTCTTTTTTCCTTTTTTCTTCTTTTGTCTTTTTTTTCCTTCTCTTTGCTTTTCTTTCTTCTTCTTTCTTTTCTCTTTTTCTCTTTTCTCTTCTATGTTTTCCTCTTTTTTTTCTCTACTGCCTTCTCTTTTTTCTCTTTCTTTTTCCTTTTCTCTTCTCTCTCTCCTCTCTTTTCCTTCTTTTCTATCTCTCTTCTCTCTCTCTTTTTCTTCTTTTTCTTTTTCTTTCCTTTTTCTTCTTTCTTTCTTTCTCTCTCTTTCTCTTTTCTATCTTTTTCCTTCTTCCCCTTTTTCTCTTTTCCTTTTTCCTTTCTTTTCCTTTTCTTGCTTTCTCTCTCTTCTTTTATTCTTTGTCCTCTTTTTCTTCCCTCTCTCTCTCTTTCTTTCTTTTTTCTCTTCCTCTCTTTCGTCTTTCTTTTTCTTCTTACTTTCTCTTTCTTTTTTCTTTTTTATTACTCTTTCTTTTTTCCTCTCTTTTCTTTTTCCTTTTTTGCTCTTTCTTATCTCTGATTCTCTTCTATTTTTTCTCCTTTTCTGTCATCATCTTTTTCTTTCTCTTTTCTCTCTTCTTTCTCTCTTTTTCTCTCTCTCATGTTCTCTCTTTTCCTCTTTGTCTTACTCTCTTTTTTGCTTTCTTCTTCCTCTTCTTGTTTTCTTTTTCCTCCTATCTTGTTTTTCCTTCTTTTAGTTCTTTTCTTTCCTTCTCTCTCTCTCTATTTTTTCTCTCTTTTTATCTCTTTTCCTCTCTTTCTTCTCTTCTTCTTCTTCTTTTTTCTTTTTTCTTTTTTCTCTTTCTTTTTTTGTTTTCTCTTTTCTTCTTCTTTTTCTCCTTTTTCTCTTCTATCTTTTCTTTCTTTCTCTTCTTTTCTTCTTTCCTTTCTCTACTGTCTGTTTTTCCTTCTTCTTTTCTCTCACTTCTTTCTCTATTTTTGTATTCTCTTTTTCCCTCTCCGTTTCCTTCTTTTTCTTTTTTCCTGTTCTTTCTTTTCTTTTCTTTCCCTCTCGTCTCTCTCTCTTTCTCTTTCCTTTTTCTTTTCTCTCTTTCTCTTTCTCCTTCTATTTTTCTCTTTTTCTTCCTCTTTTTCTTTTTCTTCTTCGTCTTTTCTCTTCTTCTTTTTCTATTTCTTTTTTCCTCTCTCTTCTTTCCTTCTCTTCTTATTCTCTTCTTTTCTCTCTTTCTTTCTTTTTCTTTTTCTTTTGCTTTGCTTTTCTCTCTTCTCTTTTCTTTTCCTGTTTTCTTTTCCTTTTATCTTTTCTCTCCTCTCTCTTTTCTTTCTTTCTTCCCTTCCTTTTCTTCCCTCCTTCTTTTTTCTCTTTTGTTCTCTTCCTCTGTTTTTCTTTTCTCTTTCTTTCTTTTTTCTTTTTTCTCCTTTTTTCCTTTCTTCCTCTTTTTTCTCTCTTTGTCTTTTTCCTCTGTTGTCTCTTCTTCTCTCCTTCTTATTCTTTTTTCCTCTGTTTTTCTTCTCTCTTTTTTCTTCTTCTTTTTCTTTTCTTTTCTATCCTTCCTTTTTCCTCCTGTCTTCTTCTCTTTCTTTCTTTTTCGCCTCTTTCTTCCTTTCTCTCTTTCTCTCCTTTCCTTCTTCTTTTATTTTTCTTCTCCTCCTTTTCCCTTTTTTCTCTTCTCTGTTTTCTTTTTTTCTCTTTTTCTTTTCCCTTTTTCTTTTTTTTCTTCTCTCCTTTACCTCTCTTTTCTTTTTCTTCTTCCTCTTCTCTTTTTCTGTTTTCTATCGTCTTTTCTTCTGCTTCTCTTTTTCGTTTTCTTTCTCTTCTTCTCTCTTTCTCTTTTCTCTTTTTCCTCCTCCTTCTATCTCTTCTATTGCCTTCTTCTTCTCTTCCTCTTCTTCTCTTTTCTTCTTTTCTTCTCTTTTCTTTTTTCTTTCTTTTCTCTCTCTCCTTCTGTCTCCTTCCTTTTCTCTTCTTCTCTTCTTTTCATCTCTCTCTTTCTTTCTTTTTCTCTCGTCTCTCTTTCTCTTTTCTTCTTTTTCTCTTTTCCTATCCTTCTCTCCTGTTTTTCTTTCTCTTTTTTCTGCTCCTTCTCTCCTTTTCTCTCTTTTTTCTCATCTTTCTTTTTCTTCTTCTTCTCTCTCTTTTTTTCTTCTTCTCTTTTTCTCTTTTTTCCTGTCTCTTTCTTTTTTTTCTTCTTTCTTTCTTTTTTCTCTTCTGTCTTCTTTTTTACTCTTCTTTTTTCTCTTTTTCTTCTCTGTCTCTCCTTTCTTTCCCTTTCTCTCTCCTTTCCTACCTTCTTTCTTTCTCTTTTTCTATCTCTCCTTTTCTTTTCTCTTCTTTCCTTCTCTCTCTCTCTTTCTTTCTTTTCTTCCTTTCTTTTCCTTCTTGTTTTTCTTCTCCTTCTCTCTTGTTTTCCTTTTCTGTTCTTCGCTCTTTTCTGTCTCTCTTCTTTTCGTGTTTTTCTCTCTCTCTTTTGTCTTTCTCTTTTTCTCTCTGCTTTCCTTCTGCTTCCTTTTCGCTCTTTTCCTTTGCTTCTTCTCTTTCCTCTCTCTTCTTTCTTCTGTTTTTTCTTTTTTTTTTTTTTTCTTTTTTTTTTCTTTCTTTCTTTTTTTCTTCTTTTTTTCTTCTTTTTCTCCTTTTTTTTCTTTTTCTTCTCTTTTCTTTCTTTTTTTGTTTTTCTTTTTCTTTTTCCTTTTTTTTTCTTTTTTCTTTTTTCCTTTTTCCCTTTTTTTTTTCGTTTTTCTCTCTTCTTTTTTTTTTTCTTTTTTTTTCTTTCTTTTGTCTTTTTTTTTTTCTTGTTTCTTTTTTTTTTTTTCTTACTTCCTTTTTTTTTTTTTTCTTTTTTTCTTTTCTCTTCTTTTTTTCTTTCTTTCTTTTTTTTCCTCTTTTTTTTTTCTTTTTTTTTTCTCCTTTTCTTTTTCTTTTTTCTCTTTTTCTCTTTCTTTCTTTTTTTTCTTTTTTTCCTCTTCTTTTCTTTTTTCTTTTCTTTCTTTTTTTTTCCTCTTTTTCTTACTCTTCTCTCTTTCTTTTCTCTTTCTTTCTCTTTTCTTTTCTTCTCTTTTTTTTTTCTTTTTTTTCTCCTTCTTCTTTTCTTTTCTTTTTTTTTCTTCTTTTCTTTTTTTTCTTTTCTTCCTTTTTTTTTCTTTCTTTTTTTTTTTTTTTTCTTTTTCTCTTTCCTTTTTTCCTTTTTTTCTTTTTCTCTTTTTTTTTCTTTCTTCTTTCTTTTTTTTTTTCCTTTTCTTTTTTTTTTTCTTTTCCTTTTTTTTTTCTTTTCTTTTTTCTTTTTTCTTCCTCTTTTTCTTTCTTTTTTTTCTTTTCTTTTTTTTTCTCTTTTATTTCTTTTCCTTTTTTTTCTTTTTTTCCTCTTTTTCTTCTTTTTCCTTTTCTTTCTCCTTCTTTTTTTTCCTCTTTTTTTTTTTCCTTTCCTCTTTTTCCTCCTTTTTTTTTTTTTTCTTCTTTTCTTTCTCCTCTTTCTTCTCATCTTTCTCTTCTCTTTCTTTCTCTTTTTTTTTTTTTTCTTTTTCTTTTTCTCTCTTTTTTCTTTCTTCTCTTTTCTTCTTTTTTTTCTTCTTTTGTCCTCTTCCCTTTTTTTCTTTTTCCTTTTCTTCTTCTTTTCTTTTTCTCTTTTTCTCTTCTTCTTCTCTTTTTCCATCTTCTTTCTCCCTTTTTCCTTTCTCTCTTTTTTCCTCTTTCTTCTCTTTTTTACTTTCTTTTTTTTCTTCTTTTTTCTGCTCTTTCTTTTCATTTCTTTTTTCTTTTTTTTTTCTTTTTTTTTTCCCGTTTCTTTTTTTCTTTTCTCTTTTTTCTTCCTTTTTTTTTTCTTTCTTTTTTTTCTTTCTTTTTTTTTTTCCTCTTCTTCTTTCTTTTCTTTTCTTTTTTTCTTTTTTTGTTCTTTTTTTCTTCTTTTTTTTTCCTTTTTTCTTTTTTTTCTCCTCTTTTCTTTTTTTTTTTTCTTTTTTTCTCCTTTCTCTCTCTCTTCTTTCCTTTCCTCTTTTTTCTCCTTTTTCTTTTCTTCTTTTTTCTTTCTTTTCCCTTTTCTTATTCTTTTTTCCTTTCCTTTTTTTTTCTTTCTTTCTTTCTTTCTTTCCTTTCTTTTCTTCTCTTTTTCTTCTTTTTTTCTTCCCTTTCCTCTCTTTTTTTTTTTTTCTTTTTTTCTTTCTTTCTTTTTTTTTTTTTCCTTTTTTTTTCTTTCTCTCCTTTTTTTCTCCTTTTTTTTTCTTTTTTCTTTTTCTTTTCTTTTCTTCCTTTTTTTTTTTTCTTTCTTCTCTTCTTCTTTTTTTCCTTCTCTTCTTCTTTTTTTTTTTTTTTTTTTTTTCTCTCTTTTTTTCCTTCTCTGTTTTCTTTTCTTTCTTTTTTCTTCTTTTTTTTTTTTTTTTTTCCTTTTCTTTTTCTTTTTTTTTTCTCTTCCTTTTTCTTTTTCTTTTTCCTTTCTTCTCTTTTTTTTCTTTTCCTCTTCCTTTTTTCTCTCCTTCTTTTTCTTTTTTCTCTTTTTTTTCTTTTCTTTTTTCTTCTTTTTTTTCCCTTTTTTTTCTTTTTTTTTCTCTCTTTTTTTCTTTTTTCTTCTTCCTTTCTCTCCTCTTTTCCTCTTTTTCTTTTTTTTCTTTTCTTTTTCTTTTCCTTCTTCCTTCTTTTTTTTTTCTCCTTCTTTTTTCTTTCTTCCTTCTTTTTCTTTTCTTTTTTCTTCTTCGCTTTCTCTCTTTCTTTTTTTTTTTTTCTTTCTCTTTCTTTTCTTCTTCCCTCTCCCCCTACCTCTTTTGTTCTCTTTCTCCTTTTTGTTTTTTTCTTTTTTCCTCTTTATCCTCCTTTCTTTTCTTTCTTCTTTCTCTCCTTTCTTCTTTTTCTTCTTTTTTCTTTTTTTTTTTCTTTTCTTTCCTTTTTTCTTTCTTTTTTCTTTTTTTCTTTTTTTTCTCTTTCTTTTCCTTTTTCTTCTTTTCCTCTTTTCTTCTTTTCTGTTTTTCTTTTTCCTCCTTTCCCTCTTCTTCCCTCTCTTCTTTTTTTTTCTTTTTTTTTTTTTCTTCTGTTTTTTCTTTCCTCTCCCTTTTTTCTTCTCTTTTCCCTTCTTTTTCTCTTTCTTTCTTTTTCTTTTCTTTTTTTTCTTTTTTTTTCTTCCTCTCTTCTTTTTCTTTTTTTTATCTTTTCTTTTTTTTCTTTTTTCTTCTCCTTCTTTTTTCTTTTTTCTTCTTTCTGTTTTTTTTCTTTTTCTTTTTTTCTTTTTTTTTCTTTTTCCTTTCCTTTTTTTTTCTTCTTCTTTTTCTTTTTTTTTTCTTTCTTTTCTCTTTTCCTTTTCTTTCTTTTCTTTCCTTTTTTTCTCTCTCTCTCTCTTTTTTCTTCTTTCCTTTTTCTCTCCTTTTCTCTTTTTCTTTTTCTTCTTCTTTTTTTCTTTTTTTTCTTTTCTCTTCCTCTTTTTTTTTTTTTCTCTTCTCTTTTTTTTTTCCTTTCTCTTTTCTTTTTTCCTTTTCTTCTTCCTTTCTTTTTTCTCTTTCTCTTTTTTTTTCCTTTTTTCTTTCTTTCTTCTTTCCTTTTTTTCCCCTTTTTTTTCTCTTCTTCTCTCTTTTTTTTCTTTCTTCTTTTTTTTCTTTTTTCTCTTTTTTTCTTTCTCTCTTTCTTTCCTTTTTTTTCTTTTTTCTTCCTTCTTTTTTCTTTTTTCTTTTTTTTTTTTCTTTTCTTTTTCTTTCTTTCTTTCTCTTTCTCTTTTTTCTTCTTCTTTCTTTTTTTTTCTTTCTTCTTGTCTTTTTTTTTTCTTTCTTTTTCTTTTCTTTCTTTCTTACTTCTTTCTTTTTTTTCTTCTCTTTCTCTCTTTTTCTTGCTTCTTTTCCTCGTTCTTTTTCTTTTCTTTTTGCTTTCTCTTTTTTTTCTTTCTTCCATTTCTTTTTCTTTCCTTTTCTTCCCTTTCTTTCTTATTTTTTTTTCCCTTCTCTTTTTTTCTCCTTTTTTGTCTTTTCTCCTTCTTCTTTCTTTTTTTTACTCCTGTTCTCTTTTTTTTTTTGTTTCTTTTCTTCTTTTTTCTTCTTTCTCTTTTCTTTTCTTCTTTTCTCTTTTTCTTTTCTTCCTTTTTCCTTTTTCCTCTTCTTTTTTTTTTTTTTTCTTTTCTTTCTCTTTCTTTTCTTTTTCTTCTCTCCTTCCTTTTCTTTTCTCTTTTTTTTTTCTTTTTCTTCTTTCTTCTCTCTTTCCTTTGTTTTACTTTTTTCCCTTTTTTTCTCTTTTTTCTTTTCTTCTCTTCTTTCTCTTTTCTGCTTCTTCCTTTTTTTTTCTCTTTCCCTTTTTCTTTTTTCTTCCTTTCTTTTTTCTTTTCTTTTTTTTTTTTCCTTCTCTTTTTTTTCCTTTTTTCTTTTCTTTTTTCCTTTTCTTCTCTTTTTTTTCTCTTCTTTTCTTCCCTCTTCTTTTTTTTTTTTTCTCCCCTCTTTTTCTCTTTTTTTCTTCTTCTTCCTTTTTTTTTTTTTTTTTTTTCTTTCTTCCTTCTCTTTTCTTTCTCTTTTTTTTCTATCTCTTTTTCTTTTTTCTTTCTTTCTTTTTCTTCCTATTCTCACTTTTTCTTTTCTCTATTTTTTTTCTTCTTTTTTCTTTCTTTTCTCTGTTTCTCTTTTTTCTTCTCTTTTTCTTCTTTTTTCTTTTTTTCTCTTTTTTTTTTCTTTCTTTTTCCTTTCTTTTCTTCTTTTCTTTTCTTTTCTCTTCCTTCTCCTTCTCTTTTTTTTCTTTTTTTCCTTACTCTTTTTTTTTCTTTCTTTTCTTGTTCTTTTTTTTTTTCCTTTTCTCTTTTCTTTCTCTCTCTACTTTCTTTTATTCCTCTCTTTCCTTTTTTTCTCTTCCTTTCTTTTCTTTTCTCCTCCTTTCTCCCCTCTCTTTTTTTTCTTCTTTTCTTTCTTTTCTTTCCTTGTTTTATTTTTTACCTTTTCTCTTTTTTTTTTCTTCTTTCTTTTACTTTTTTCTTTTTCTTCTCTCTTCCGTTTTTCTTTCTTTCTTTTCTATTTTTTTCTTTTTTTCTCCTTTTCCTCTTCTCTTTCCTTTTTCTTTCTTTTTTTTTTTATCTTTCTTGTTTTTCTTCCTTTTTTTTTTTCCCCCCTTCTTCTTCTTTTTCTTTTTCTTTCCCCTTTTTTTCCCTTTTTTTCTTTTTTTTCCTCTTTTTTTTTTTTCCTTTTCTCTTTTTCTTTCTTTATTTTTTCTTTTTTTTCTTTTTTCTTTTTCTTTTTTTTTTTTTTTTCTTGTTTCTTTCCCCCCCTCCGTTTCCTTTCTTCATCTTTCTCTTTTTTTTTTTCTTTTCTTTTTTTTACTTTTCTCTCTTTTTTTCTTTTTTCTCTTTCACTCTTTTTTTCTTCCTCACACTTTCTCTTTTTTTTTTTTTCTTCCTCTTTTCCTCTCCTCTTTCTTTCACTCTTCATTCTTTCTTTTTCTTCCTCCTTTTTTTTTTCTCCTTCTTCCTCTCCTATTTTTCTTTCTTCTCCTTCTTTTTCTTTTCTTTTTCCCTCATTCCCTTTTCCTCTTTCTTTTTTTTTTTTCTTTTCTTTCCTCTTTTTTTTTCCTCCTCTTTCTCTTTCTTCCCTTGTTTCACTCACCTTCTTTTTTTTCTTTTTTCATCTTTTTTTTCTCCTTCTTCTTTCTTTTCCTTTTTTTTTTCTTTTTCCCTTTTTTTTTCTCCTTTTTTTTTCTCTTTCTCTTTTTCTTTTTCTCTTCTTTTTCTTTTACTTTTTTATTCTTCCTACCTTTCCTCTTTCTTCTTCTCTTTTCATCCTTTTTTTTTTTTTTTTCTCTTTTTTTTTTCTTCTTTCTTTCTTACTCCCCTTTTCTTTTCCCCCTTCTCCTTCTACTACTCTCTTTTTCTTCTATCTTTCTCCCTTCCTTTTTCTTTCCTCTCTCTACTTCCCTTTCATATTCCTTTCTTTCTTCCTTTTCTCTTATCTTCCTTTCTTTCCTTTTTTCTCTTTTTACTCTTCTCCTATACTTTTTCCTTTCCCTCCATTTTCCTCCCCCTTCTCTTTTTTCCTTCTTTTCTCCTCTTTTTTCTTTCTTCCCCTTCTTCACTTCTTTTCTCTTCCTCTTTCCCCTCTTATCCCTTTCCCTCTATTTTTCTTCTCTTCCTTTTTTTTCCTTTTTCCTCTTTTCTTTCACTCTCCGTTCTCTTTTATTTTCTCTTCTCTTTTTACCTTTTTTTTTCCCTTTCTTTCTTTCTTCTCCCTTCCCCTAATACTTCCCTTCTTTCCTATTTCCTTCTTCTCCTTCTCTTCTCCTTCCTTTTCTTTCTTTTTTTCTTTATTTTTCTTTCTTTTTCACTCCTTCTTTTCCTCTTACACTTTCTTCTTTTCCCTCTCTCCTTTCTTTTTCTTTTCCTCTCTCTTTTTCTTCCATTTCCTCTTATTCTTTCTTCCTCCCTTTCCTCCTTTTTTTTCCCCTCTTTTCCTTTCCTTCTCCTTTCTTTCTTTTCTCTCTTTTTCTTCTTCTCTCTTTCTTTTCTCTTTTTTTCTCTTTCCTCTCCTTCCCCCCTCTCTTTCTCCTCTTCTATCTTACTCTCTTCTCTCTCTTCCTTTCCTTCTTTTTTTCTTCCTTTTTTCCCCCTTTTTTTTCCTTCTTTTTCCTTCTTTCTGTCACCTCTTTCTCTTACTTTCTATTTTTCTTTTTTTTACTTTCCCCTCTTCCTTTCTTCTTTTTTCTTTTCTTCTTTCTCTCTTCCCTTTTCACATCACTCTTCTTTCTTCTCTTCACTCCTTCTCTTTTTCCCCCCTTTTTTTTTCCCTTTCCCATTATACTTTTTCACTCCCCCTTCTCTCTTCTTCTTACTTTTTTCTCTTCTCTATCTTCTCTCTTTTATTCTTTTTCTTCATCTTCATTCTTTTCCTCTTCCCTGTTTTCTTTCTCTTACTTTCCCTTTCTTTCTCCTTCTTTTTATCTTTCTTTCTTTTTCCCTCTTCTTCTCCTCATTTCTTTTTTCTCTCTTTCTTCCTTTTTTTCTCTTTTCCTCCTTTTCATTTCTTCTTCTTTTTTCTTCCCCTTGTTTTACCCTTTCTTCCACCCTTCTCTCTTCTTTCCCTCCCCTTTCTCTTTTTTTCCTTTTTCCCTCTTTTCTTTTCTTCTTCTCCTTCTCTACCTTTTTATCTCCTTCTTTTTCTTCTTTTTTTTCCTACTTTCTCCTTTTTTTTCCTTTTTCTTCCTTCTTTCTCACCCTTTTTTTTTTCTTTTTTCTTCTTCCCCTATTTCTCTCCTCCTTTTTTTTCCATCTTTTTCCTTTTCCCTCTTTTGCCTTTCCTTCTTCCCTTTTTCTTCTCCCCTTTTCTTTCCTCTTTTTATATTCCTTCCCCCTTCTCTTCTTACTTTTATCTTTTCCCTCTCTCCACTTTTTTCTTTCCTTCCTCACCTCTCTTCTCTTCCTCCCCTCACTTTCTTTTCTCTTTCCTTTTCCCATCTTCCCCTTTCTTCAACTCTTCCCAATTTTTTCTCCTTTTTTTTCTTACCTTTTTTCTCTCTTCTTCTTTTCTTATCTTTCCTATCCTCCCTCACTTATACTCTTTTTTTTCTTTTTTTCTATTCTTCCCCATTTCCTACTCATTTTTTCCCTTCTCCTCTTTCCCTTCATTAATCTTTCTTCCTTCTTACTCCTGCTTCCCTTTCCCTTGTTTTTCTTTCTCTCTCCTTCTTTTCTTTTTCATCTCACTATTCTTCCTCTCCTTTACTTTTTTCTCTTTTTTCCTCCTATTTCTTTCTTTTTCTATTTTTTTCTTTCCCTCTCTTTTTTTTTCCCTTCTCTTCCTTTCCTTCCTTTTCTTTTTTTTTTTCCCTTTCTTTCCCTCTTCTCCTTTCCTCTTATCCCTTCTTCCTCCCACTTTCCCTTTTTTTTTTTTCCCTCCCTTTCCCTCTCTCCTTCTTCTTCTTCTTCTTTCCTCTTTAATCTCTTTTCTTTTCTTCTCTCTGTTTTTTTTCTCCTCCTCCCTCTTTTCTCTCTCTTCTTCCTCGCTTCCTTCTTTCCTTCTCTTTCCTTCTTCCTTTTCTTCATTCCTTTTTCTTCCTTTCTTCCCCTCTTATTCTTCCTCTCCTCTTCTTTTTCTTTCTTTTTCTTTTCCCCTTATCCTATTTTTTTCTCTCCCCCTCCTCTCCTTCCTTTTTCCTTTTCTTTCTTCCTTTTTTCTTTCCCTCCTTTTCTTTTCTTTTCTCTCTCTTTTCTTCTTCCTTTCTTCTCTTTTCTTTTTTTTTTATTTCTTTTCTTCTCTCTTTTCCCTTCCCCTCTCTTTTACTTCATCTTTTTTCTTCCTTTTTCTTTTCCTCTTCTTCTTTCTACTTCTCCTTTCTTTCTCTCCCTCCCCCTTTTTCTTTTTACTTTCCCTCTCCTTCTTTCCCCTACCTCTTTCTTCACTTTTCTTCTCTACTTTTTCCCTTTTTACTATTTTTTCCTTTCTCCTTTATTCTTCTTTTTATCTTTTCTTATTCCCTTTCTTCTCTTTCCTATCTTTTTTTTCCCTTTCTTTTGTTTCCCTCTTTTTTTTTTCTCTTCCTTTCCTCTCCCCTCTATTCCATTCTCTTTTTTCTTTTCTTTCTTTTTTTCTTCCCTTCTTCTTTTCCTTTTTTTTTTCTTCTTTTTTTTCTTTTTTCTTCTTTTTTTCTTTCTCTTTTTTTTCTCTTCTTTCTCTTTCTTCTTCTTGTCTTTTTTTTCCTATTTCTCTTTTTTTTTTTTCTTTTTTCCCTTTTTTTACCTTCTTTCTTTCTCTCTCTTTCTTTTTTTTTGTTTTCTTCTTTCCTTTTTTTCTTTCTTTTTCTTTTTCTTTTTTTTTTTTTTTTTCTTTCGCTCTTCTTTCTTTTTATTTTCTTCGTTTTTTCCTTCCTTTCCTCTTCCCTCTTCCTTCTTCTTTTCTTCTTTTTTTGCTCTCTTTTTCTTTTTCCTTTTTTTTTCTTTTTTTCTCTTTTCTTTTTTTCTTTCTCTTTTTCTTTTTCTTTCTCTTTTTGTTTTTTTTTTCTTTTCTTTTTTGCCGTTCTGCTTCTTCTTTTTTTCTCTTCTCTCTTTTTTTTTCCTTTTTTTCTCTTTTTTTTTTATTTTTTTTTTTTCCTTCTCTCTTCCTCTTTTCTCTTCTCTTTTTTACTTTTTTTTCTTTTTTCTTCTTTTTCTTGTTCCTTTTTTTTTTTTTCTTACTCTGTTCCTTTTTTCTTTCTTTTTTTTTTCTTCCTCTTTTTTCTTTTCCTTCTTTTTTTTCCTTTTCTTTCCTTTTTTTTCTTTTTTCTTTTTCTTCTTTTTCGTTTCTTTTTTTCCCTTTTTCCTTTCCATTTTTTTCTCCTTTTTCTTCTCTTTTTCTTGTCTCTGTGTTTTTTTCTTCCCTTTTTTTTTTCCCTTCTTTTTTTTCTTTTTTTTTCTTGTCTTTTTTCTTCTTTTTTCCTTTTTCTTTTCACTTTTTTCTTTTCTGTTCTCCTTTTACCTTTTTTTTTCTCTCTCTTTTTTCTTTCTTTTTTCTTTTCCTTCCCTTTTTCTTTCCTCTCTTGTTTTTTTCTCTTTTGTTTTTTCTTTTTTTTCTTTTTTCCTTCCTTTCTTTCCCTTTTCTTTGGTTTTTTTCTTTTTCTCTTCTCTTTTTTTCTTTTCTCTCTTTCTTCCTTTTTTTCTTTTTTTTTTTTTTTTCTTTTCTCTTTTTCCTCTGCTCTTTTCTTCTTTGCTGTTTCTTTGCCTTGGCTTCTGTTTTTCTTCTTCTCTTTATCTTTTCCTCTTTTTTTTTTTTTCTCTTTTTTTTATCTTTTTTCTTTTTCTATTTTCTTTTTTCTTTCTTTCCTTTGTTTTCTTCTTTCTCTTTTTTTTTTTTTCTTCTTCCCTTTTCTTTTTTTTTTTTCGTGATGCGAGGTGACGTCTTCAATTGCTTAAATTCAATGAACTTTTCTAGTCCAATGGAAGTCGTCACAATGACAAAAAAAGGCGCTCGGTGGCGGATAGTGGCAGGAGCATTTAAATCCGCTTCTTTTTTTTCGTGTTTGTCTTGGTGACGTATTTTATTTGGCTTAAATTCAGTTGGAACTTTTTTCTAGTGCAATGGAAGTCGTCACATTGACAAAAAAGGCGCTCGCATGTGGCGGATAGCGGCAGGAGCATTTAAA